TGTAATAAAAAAAAAAAAAAAAAAAAAAAAAAGGAGGGGGCTATTAGGGGAAGTACAAAGCGTCGGGGAATCATAATAATTAAAGCAGATTTATTTTAGCTTTTAAATTTCTTGTTATGGACGTTAGCCCGAGTGGGGCCCACCTTCCTTTGCATTGTCACTCTCCTGGGAAATGAGTGACGATTTCCAAAGTCCAAGATTTTCTTAAACTACTTGCTTAGTGGGGCCCACCTTCTACTGGAGGCTATATATGTCATTTACCATTTTTTCCCCAAAAACTTAAAACCGAATAAATAATAAAAAGTAGATTAAAAAGTCTTAATACAATTTAATTTTAATAAATGCAAAGAACAATAAATAAAACCACCAAATAATTCAATAATTAATTTCAAAGTATTAGAATTGAATTGATGAGCCAAAATTAGGGTTCCTTCCTTCAAATTCTTATGGTCAAATTAGGCCCCACATATTCCATTCAATAACACCTTTTAATCACCTTTATGATTCATTTCTCTTCTTCTTCACACATAATTATTATTGACCTATCATTTTATACTTTATATATATATATATATATATATTATACCATTCAAATTCAGAGTTTCTCACAATATTTGGTCAACCATATTTGAGACGTTTTCATATTCTCGAGCTATTTTTATAATATAGTCTTTGCATACCTATGCAAATAGTTTATGTATTTTTTACATACGTGTTGTAAAATCCCACCTCAGTTAGAGAGGAGAATGGAACATTCCTTAGAAGGGTGTGAAAACCTCTAACTAGTAGACACGTTTTAAAAACTTGAATGGAAACTCGAAAGGGAATGCCCAAAGATGACAATATCTACTAGCAATGGGCTTAGGTTGTTCCAGCTGTTCACGTATAACACTCCTGAAACTTGATATCAACACAACAAGAAGAAAACAATGATATGCTATGTCGATAACATGTACGGTACCGATTTGGAATTTCAACTATCAAGTTTCATTGAATCACCTGAAAAACAATGAATATGGAAACCCTTCCCAGACACAGGGAGAGTTGAAGGAGCAATGCAAGAAACGAGATGAACAAACCACTTTGGAAGACATTGAACGATGTATTTCTACAGATGTGTGTGGATCAATCATTGCCCCATTGATCATCATCTTAATATGGGTTGGGAATAATATAAGGGAAACTTTACCGTCGACCAATGATATTTAAACCTTTGTCTTCAACTTCGCTCTTTGAAGTTACCCTTTTTGATTCTTGCTGTTTGATGATATCTGCTTCAACCTTTGTCAAGTAAAACAGAGAACACACAATCTATGCCCTTATGAGTTATGAATAAGTCATTTTATTTCAAATAAAGCAAACGACAAACCTGACCTCAGTTAGCTTCGTTCTCAATTCTGGGCCAATTTCATACTGCTCAATGTTCAATGCGTACTGCACAATAATAATCCATACCAGGAAAATCTTGTTGAGTTCAAAATGAGAGCACTAGCAAATCAATAACAAAACAACAGCCTGCTATACCAGTACTCAGTGTAGCCATGTCTAGCTGAAAAGGAAAATGTAACTGTCTAAGCCCAATGCTAACCGATATTCTCCTTTTTAGACTTTTCTTTTCGGACTTCCCTTCACCGTTTTTAAAACATTTATGCTAGGAAGAGGTTTCACATCTTTATAAAAAATATTTTGTTCTTCTCCCCAACCAATGTGAGATCTTACAAACCACCGTTCTTCGGGCCCCAACATCCTCGTTGGCACTCGTTCCTTTTTTCAATCGATGTGGGACCCCCCAGTTCGCCCCCATTCGGGGCTCAACCTCCTCGCTGTCACATCGCTTGGTGTCTTGACTCTGATACCATTTGTAACCGTTAGTAAATATTGTCCTCTTTGAACTTCCCCTCAAGGTTTTAAAACACGTATGCTACAGAGATGCTTCTACACTCTTAACCCATTCTACACCCTTACCCCAACCGAGGTGGGATCTCACATGAAACTAAAATATCATTGTTAGCGTTCTATACGAGCACCCAATCCTTGTCCACCCCCTTTAAACAACCATCCAGCTTTAACCTTAAAATTTCCTCGTTTCAATCTACAGCATTGGCTAGTTAAGGAAAATCTTGTCTGCTTGAAACTCATTCTCAGTGAAAGTGCCGATCCATAAACCCTAGGATCTCACAAGGCTGTCACAGCGTTTATTGACAAATCCTGCACCATTTCTACTTAACATGTAGACACTGTTTCTTGATTAATGAAGAAAATTGTACTATAGTGATTACATGCCCTCAGTCTCATGATTTTCGAAGTAACACAGATCTAAATGCACCACAAATCACTCTTTTATGTGTGTGTGAGAAAAGAAGCAGAGAGAAAAAAATCACAAAAAATTAGAATACGGATTTCCATTCATACTGTTCCTCCTCAAGGATTGATAAGAATCACATCAGCATCAAACAGTAACGACAGAGAGAAGATAACAGAAACAAAGTTTATGTACGGTTTAATCCGATGAGACACTAGCGGAGCTCAGCTACAAAATAACTAACGATTTAATAAGCGCCTAAAATAATGAAAATCAAAGCTCAAATGTTGAACAATTTCTTGAATCTCCACACTACACGTTACAATTTCTCGGGAACTAAACAGATAAATCGGTAAACACCGCAGATTAATTCCACAGATTGTGTTTTTCTACGAAGACGGAGAAAGATAAACTGCAGCCGAAGCTGGAATTAGTAACAAAGCCGGAGAACGCACCTGACCGCCGCCGGAGAAGCGATGAGAAGCACTTTTTTGCAAGCAGAAGAGGTGAAAAGTGAGTTCCAAGCGGCGGGAAGGATCCTAAGATTACCTAATAATTATCAGTTCCATTTACGATTTACTTCATAATTTTTTTATTTTATAGTTCAATTTTTGCTAAAATTACCTAATAATTTAAAATTTTAAAAATAAATAATCACCAATAAAAATTCATATATATATCCACATGACATAATATTAAATTCACATATACTAAATAAAAAAGATTATAATGTTGAAAATGTTATAAAAAAATTGTTTAGATTATTTATATTAGTTCTCGAGATAACGTAAAGAAGATCGGTCAATTAGGACAACGACATACGAGATTGGTTGACGGATCCTAAGCACGGATAGTCGAACCCTAACTCTTATCACAATTTAGAGGTGAACAACATCTAGACATAGGTACAAGTAAGTGTGAGACCACTGCGACAATGATTGACTGATACCCATCACGTGTTTGAGAAAAATCTTAATGTAGCATTTGGTCATTAAAAGTGTCGCACTATCCATTCTTATGTGTAGTCACAGCTCTTGTACTATTCATTAAAAAATAGCACTGGACACGTTGCTCGACCCGACTCGTCGTAATCAAACTCATCAACATTAATTATTATAAATTATACTTCCAAATTTACCGGAAATAGTAAATGATTTTTTAAAAAAAATCAAGCTAAATATGTGATTTAGACTATATTATTTTAAACAAAAATTAGATATGAGCTCAAAATATACTTTAATTAATTAAAATATAAAATTCCCGTAGTTAAATATGATAATAAAATTAAAATATATTAATTTTACCCTATTTAATAATTTAAACTACCATAGTTTTGTCGTAGGACATGGATTGTAACGGTCCAGATCCACCGCTAGTAGATATTGTCCTCTTTGGCCTTCCGCGGAAGGACTTAAAACGCGTCAGGGAAGGTTTCCACACCCTTATAAATGTTGGTTTGTTATTCTCCCCAACTAATGTGAGACATCACAATCCACCCCTTTCGAGGCCTAGCGTCCTCGCTTGCTCTCTTTCCTTCCTCCAATTGATGTGGGACCGCCCCCAAATCCACCCCCTTTAGAGCCCGACGTCCTTACTGGCACACCGCCTCGTGTCTACTCCCCTTCGAAGAACAACGAGAAGGCTGGTACATCGTATGGTGTAGACTCTGATACCATTTGTAACGGCCTAGATCCACCGCTAGCAGATATTGTCTCTTTGGGCTTTTCCTTTCAGACTTCTCCTCAAGGCTTTAAAACGCGTCTACTACGGAAAGGTTTCCACACCCTCTAAATGTTGGTTTGTTCTTTTTCTTAACCAATGTGGGAGATCACATGAACTATTTGCTATTATATTAAATTAATATTAAAAAAGAAACTATTTTATCATTAAAACATCAAAATAAAACCATTTTTTTATTATAAAAAAACAGACATTAAAATGAAAAAAAAAATGGATTTTTGCTTTTATTTCCCGAAAATAAAAATACAAGGTGCCAAAAGAAATAGAAGAAAAAAAAAACAAAAATAAAGTGGTAAAGTGGGGACCACACAGTACTCTGCCCATTATGAGTGGGTCCCACATGATTAGGAAAGAATGTGGGACCCACCGATGAATAATTGCCCCTCTCTCTGTATGGTATAAAGATAGTGTGACCGTGACTCTCCAAATCACTCGCCTATTAGGCTTAATTTATGTATGAAACTTTTAAGATTAATATTTAATAAATTGTAAAAATTTTAATTTTGTATGTAATTAATAATTGATTTATCTATTCGATTATTATTATTTTTTGTAAACTCACAATTTTATATTTTATAAAATTATTATTGATTAAATTTATAATTTTGAACTAAAAATTTAGAAATTAAGCAATATATTTTGTTTAATTTTTTTAAAAAATATTAATAGGAAGAGTAAAAAAGACCAAACAAAGAGCGATTTCATGTTCCAGAAATTTACACGGAGAGAAGATCAGGGTTTCTCCATCCTCCTCTCTCCGCCTTTAATCTCAGGTTTGCCTTCGATTCATTCTTCATGATCTGTTCTTGTTCTTCTTCAAATCGAATCGGTTTTTTCGTTGTGGTTGCTTTTTGTTTATTGTTTCCTACTTCACTCTATTTTAAGGTATTTCTTTGATCGTTTCTCCCATTCTTCACTTTTCATCTTTATGTTATTGTTCCTGATTTCTTTTGTTTGTTTTTTGTTTTGTGGATTAGGCTCGTTTAGTGCTGAAGAGATTGTAGATATTGTTGAGCTGTTCATGAGGGGAAAGGAGCGTGCTGTAGTTGATTTTGATTGATTCGGTTGCTTGTGTGCTCTTCGGAAGAAGGGGAACGGAGCAAATTGAATCAAGGAGGCGGATGGAGATAGAAGTTTTGGTTCCGATTAGGGATAATGTGGAGGATGAAGCTTTAATGTTCGACCACATAAATATGGAAATCAAAACTGGGGAGAATGGAGTTGGTGTTCAGAAGGGTGGTGTTTATGCTCCTGCATCAGAGAATGGTGAGGGAAGTAGCGTTGTATTCTCTAGAGAAGGACCTCTTGTGAAGAAAGAATCCGTTCTAGCTCATGTTGTCCATGATTGTAATTCCAGTGAACAGAATCCCAAGTCCATGCTTGTGGTGACAGATTTTAAGCAGGGAAGGAAAGGGAAGTCCAGTCATGATAAGAAACTTAGCAGACAAGACAGATTTGAGTTAGGTCGATTGTTTCAGGGTGCTGTAAGCTCACATGATTGGGGGCTTGCAGAGAGTTTGATTGCGTTGGCAGATCCTCAGACTCTTAATGATGCTTTGTGTATCACCTTGGATTCAATCTGGTTTTTGAGCACACAGCAAGAACTTCACGGAATAACTGGATTAATTAAGAACATCATTGTGAGTGGAGCTTATGACTTTACAAGAGCAGCTCTTAGGACCTCATTTCTGGCTTCGTGTGTCTCTGCCTGCCAGAGTCGAACAATGAGTCTTGCTGATACTGTAACCGTCATGGCACAGAGGTGAAGCATAATGACATGTTTATTTTTGGATAAGAAACCGAACTTTCATTGAGAATTATGAAAGAATAAGTTTGTTCTTTTTGTTACTGCATGAATTTGTTTTCATGACAATAGAAAGGAACTGCTTACATCTGTTAGAAATATTATCCCTTAAGAGAAAATGTAGTACAAAGAAAGACCTTTCCAAATATTTAGCCAATTTGACTAACAACACTTTTAGGTATATCATATAGAACCCTTAAGGTATCTTAGTGAATTGGTGACTTCATTTAATTCCATAGTTCGGCTCGAATAACTTTTATATGTCTACTTGAAGGTGGGATCCCATAGGTGGAAACTGGTAATCGATTGTGTTACTATCTCTCATATGCAAATGGCCCCGTAATATTGTTCACTCGTAATCACTACTGTTTAAGTTCAAATTGTTCTCTTTTCCCAACTAGTTACGAGAAGTTGCAAAGTATTGATATCTTTCATTTGGTTTCCTTGAATAGTTATGAGTAGTCTTGGTTCTGTTACATATGTGGTCCTCTTAAGCAATAGCGAGATACATTTTTCTTCCATGTAACTCAGTATAATTTCCATCATTTTCATCTTCCAAAATTCCATGTTTTCATTTCCTTAGCTTAGATCTGTCTTTATTCCTCTTATTGTTTAATGGAATCTAATATTTTGCAATATTTTCCTTGTAATCAAAATGTCTACAATATTGTAAGAAGCCATTATATTTCCTACATTTGACATTTCAATCCTTGCAGGTTGCGTGAGCGTCTCCAAGAGTGCAATGGAGATGAGATCTTAAAAGCAGAGGCTGGCAGTAAGGTTCAAAAGTTTACCGAATGGGCTCTGAAATGCATTGGATTTCATTCTGGGTGCCATAGAAACCAGGACCGAGTGATTCAAAGCTCGGCTGCTGAGATCCAGCTTCAGTTATCCGCATTCAAATTTTTCATAGATTTTGCTGGCAATCAACTTACTGGAAAAGATTTCACAGAGGCCTTTGATGCTGCTTGTTTCCCACTCACTCTCTTTTCTAGTTCTTTTGATCCCGGATGGGTAGCCGGAATATCAGCGACAGCAATCCAAGGTTTATTATGTTTGCTGGTGGAGGGTGGTGCTGACAATGTTAACCAGTGCTTTCTTGAAGCTTCTCGCTTCGGAAGCACAGAACTCGTGCGCATTTTATTACAGGTACAATAAATTTATTGTTCATATTATCTACTTATTGTCCACACTGTCACTTTTAAGATTTTCTGGATTAAATTAGATCTGAGATTAAACCCAAACTAAAATCCAGAAAAAATAAATTCTTCAGTACTCTTCAAACCCAAAGACAAGAATTGCTAAGAAACCGATCAAGATCTTGGACTTCCAGCTTACTATACTATTTGAAGGTTTAAAGATTTGAAGCTGACTCTAGAAGTATATATAGATTTTAAATTGATTATGTCAACCCCAAGTCACATCTAATATATGACTCATTCGTTTTGACATTTTGCTCCAGATTAGTTGCATTTTGCTCAAGCATATGCATAATGTTCCATACCTTCATCTCTTAGTTTACTAATGTTCCTACATTTGTTTCACTCGATTGTTATTTTTCGTGCATTTTTACTTTAATATCAAGTTTATCTTATGTTAGTTGATATTCTACTGAATATTTGATGATTGAATATTTGATGATTGCACAGAGCCACTTTCTGATGTATACTATAGCCTGTAAACTGAATTATGTATCTATAAGAATGTTACAGCACTCAGACAAAGTGAGAAATTAATCGTGCAATGCTGCAATTTGACGAAGAAATTATGTTGTTATTCGTCCATTTGGTCTGATACAAAAATTTATTTTACCTTTCCATCCATTGAAGAGTCTTTAGAACTTATGTCTCATTAGCCTGACACTCGGTGTTTCTTCTTTTCTGATTTGTAGATTGCCCAAAGGAACAGCTTGGACGTTGATGTTGACCTGGCATTGGGTTTTGCTTCTCACTATTGTAAGATTGGCACAATGGAGTGTTTGGTGGAAGAGGGTAACGCCATGGCAT